ACCAGTGTGTGATTTTGAAGTACTGACTTCAGGAGGACTTCAGCAGGACTCGACTTGTGAATCTTCCCCAAACTTCTGGAGCTTTGCTTCATAATGCTTTCTGGGCTGCAGTTCTGTCTGTTGCTTCTACATCTTCTTCTAGCACATTTTTCCTTTGACTAACACACACCCACAATCTCTGTTGTTGCCTTACCTTCATACAATAAAGGCACCTAAAAGTAGAATCCATTAATATTACTTTTCTGTAGGCTGAAAATGTTGTCTTCAGCTGAGCTTCCTTTCCCCTCACCTTCCCCACTCAGCTCCTTCAGACTAGCAGCAGCAGCAATTAGCAAACACCTGGTGGGACTGTGTGTCTGCTGACCTCATCATAGAAACGACATGCGATCATAATTAGTCAATTAGAATACATGTCCCGATGAGTCTTGTCAGATTAATTTTGAAAATAACCTTTAAGTAAATTTTAAATGTACTTTTCATGAAGCCCACATTTCTTTCTTTAAAAATTGTTTTCCTATTTTTTTACTTGCAAATGTCATTTTTACTGGCAAAAAGTGGAGTATCATTATACTTAACCAAAATCAAGACTTTCAAATATCCATCTGTGTGTAATTATTTATATAAAGTGTTTCACTTACTGATAAAGTTCAAATAATAAATGGACTTTTCAATAACATTCAGATGCATTGAATGAATCTGTAAAACGCTCCTAAGACCGGTTGTAAACAGCTTGGAGAAACTTTGTTGTGATGACATACTGAAGGAAGAGAGTTGGAAAGGGCAAGATGTTCTTTAAGAGGCAGAGGCCAATTTCAAGGCAGTAGATATAGCTATGATGCGTAGTCAGATTTCTTTCTAAAGAAAGAAATCTTTCTCACATGCACAAGGGTTTTAACCCTTGTGCGTTACAGGGTAGAGGACTATGGCAAATGATACACGTTTCACGTATGTGGGTCGGTTGCATTTCTACATATAAGGGTTAAGCTGTTTTTGACAGCATTTTCATAACAACTGAAGGTGACACAGTTACTGGATTGTGGTATAAAATAGCAATATATGAATCACTTTGTGAGTCATACATGAAAATTAATAAAAATAAGAGGGAAGATAAAATATACATTTGTAATGAATCTGAGTTTTACTTTTTAAAGCAAATTCTTCCAATAAGAGAATATTTTGATTATATTGTAATCTATGTTGATGTACACCGAGTTTCAAACTAGTGTTAGTGTGAAATCATGGTAACACTTTATTTGAAGGGGGTTGAATAAGACTGACATGACACTGTCATAAACACCTGTCATAAACATGAATAAGCCTTCATGAATATTTATGACTGTTGTCATAAAGTGACATTCGGTAAATTATGACACTTTTAATACAAAGTTGACATTATTCAAAATGCCGTTGTTATGACAACTTGACATTAACCAAGAAATCATTACTGATATAAATTTGTTATAAAAGTATTACTGATTGCACTTTAAAAATTAGGTAACTTTATGTTATTAAAGGTAAAGTTTGAACAGTAATGATTTCTTGGTTAATGTCAAGTTGTCATAACAAAGACATTTTGAATAATGTCAACTTTGTATTAAAAGTGTCATAATTTACCGAATGACGCTTTATGACAACAGTCATAAATATTCATGAAGGCTTATTCATGTTCATGACAGGTGTTATGTCATGTTTATGAAAGTGTCATGTCAGTCTTATTCAACCCCCTTTAAATAAAGTGTTACAGAAATCATTTACTGTGATTTTGTATTTATTAAGTAAATACAAAACAGGAGTCCTGACCTTAGCCAGCTGACCATTAGAGTACAACAGGTGGGGGAGGGGCAAGCCTCACACAGAGGATGTTAATCCTTCCAGCTCTTTGTCTGGCATGTAATAAAATGATTTAAGACTGCAGGGACAGTGTGGTGGGAAATTGTAGCAGGTTGGAAGCAGCAACTTTGAAAACTCTTGGCATGTCTTGATATCAGTTGGAGTGTGGCTTTGGAGATGACATCGCAAAAAAGACTGGTAGATTAGAGCAGAGTGAGTGAGAAGAAACAACTTTCTCTGCTTTCGATGACCAGTTTGATGGATGGGGAGTTTGCGAGCTTTCACCAACCTCCACTGAGTATAAGAACAGGGAAATGGAGAAAATGGAGACATGTGTGTACACTGGCTATGCAGAGCAGCATTACAGGCAGGCAGATTGACATAAATCTTGAGCACACAGACAGCGGGACAGGGCTAAGGAGTCATGCATATTAGATCAATAAACTTCATAAATGACATCAACTTGGTCACCACAAAGACAGCCAAACGCCAGACACCATCTGGTCATGTCACACCAGATTACGGGATCAGACAATATAACCTTACACACAAACACTACAGCACCCAGACAGTCATACATGGTGAAATGTGCAAATATTCACGTCATTGTCTTCCACCACGCATAAGCATGCTCAGAGATGCTCAAGCCAAACTGAACCGGCCTGCAGAGATGTCCGAGTGACTATCTACATGTTACATGATACATCTAAATATTACACCTCTGAAGTTAGGCAGTTTATTCAGCAACACAAGTTCATGGTTTCTGAGCCACATTTGAAGCAAGAAAGAAACTGTAAAAATAACAGAGACTATGCAAGTATGAGAACCAAGTAACATGAAGAATAAATTAGAGGTAGAAAAGAGTGAGTTAAAAGACGCAGCAAAAGCAAGAGGTTGGTTGACACATTTCTTGCTGAGACAAAAGGGGAATTGTGAAGAAAACTGTAAATTAGTCTTTTCAGTGCAGAGTCAAAGGAAGTGTTGAGCATGAATCATGGTGTGTCAGTGGCTCCAAGCAAATCAGAAGGAGAATATTTCATTTCCAACTACATGAATGTCTACATCCTGATCACATTAACACTTCAGATGGAAAACTAGAAATTCAGTTATTTCTATGACTTACTGAAGGTCGGGTTTTGGAGGCAACAGCTTAAGCAGAGATACCCAGACCTCCCTCTGACCTGCTACTGAATTTCCTCAAACTCATCTCAGAGAACTATGAGGAATTCAAGAGTTAATTTAATTTACAATAAAACAGAACTTCTTTTCATTGGCACTAAATCAATACTAAGTAAACTACATAACTTCTCCGTTCTGGTTGATAACTTTTCCATCTTTCCCTCCCCTCAGGTCAAGAGTCTGGCTGTCATCCTCAACAGCAGCCTCTCCGTCACCTCTATGTCAATAGTATAACTTCATCTGCCTACTTCCATTTTTGAAATATTAATTGTCTCTGTCACTCCTCACTCCACTGGTCCACTGTCTGGTCACTTCCCATTCAGATTACTGTAATTCTCTTCTCTTTGGCCTGTAACAGAAAACCTTCCATGAATTACAACAGATTCAAATTCAGCTGTCCATATCATCACACAAACCCCTCAATCCATCACATCACACCTGTTTTACAACAGCTCCTTTGGCTTCCATCTCATATCGCAACAACTACAAAATACTCCTCACCTTCAAAGCTGTCCACAACCTCACCCCTCCATATCTTTTGGACCTCCTTCACATTGCTACACCTGCTCAGACAACAGATTTGCTGCATACCTGTCAAGTTTTGGATTTGAAAATACCAGAAAGTTTTTGCTGGCCAGTGCTACTGTAAGAGTGGAGGGGACCATAAGAGCCGGTGGGGTGGGACATTATTTTATAATATGGGGAATTTACAGGAACATACTAATAATAAAAGATGGGTAAAATATGGTAGTTTTCTGACTAAAACAGGAGACTTGACAGGTATGTGTCATGAAATGCAGTAGTAGAGGGGTGAGGGAGACGCAGAGGACCCAGGTTATGGTGAGAATGAAATGAAGATTTAATGAGGTGTACAAAAATCCAGGCAGCACAGGTAAGGAGCTCAGAATCTGGTAGTAACTGGTAATAGGTACTCAAAATGGGAACAATGACAACAGACTTGACACGACTACACAACTAGACAAGGACCCAACAAGGAACAAGAAACAGGTGGGATTAAATACACATAGGGTAATCATGGAAACGAGACACAGCTGGGAGCAATCAAGGAATAGACAGGACAACGGAGACTCAATAGATACAGAAACCTAAACAAACACACAGGAAAAAAAACAAAAAAACAATCCATACAGTATGATCTGCTGACCAATAAATCCCCATACATATCTTCACTTTCTTAACTCAAATTTTGCTGTGTTGACCGATCTTAGCTTCATAGTTCTTTGGCATCTTTCTCTGCCCAGAGCTCATTTATTTTTATATGTTTTTCCTGGTTTGGATCACAAAAATTAATATAAGTTTCATGAGTCACATGGATGAAGACTACTGAAAATAAGTTGTAACATGAAATGTGATCATTTGATTATCAATATTTGGCCACCTAAAAATGAAAGAAATGATAAAAATAGTCTGTTGGCTTATACCTAGTCCACAAATTTAGCATTCTCACGAGATGGTTTTTGTTGTTGTTTATTTGTTTTATTTTTATTTTATTTTATTTTTTGCAGTGAAGTAGGTCAAGGCTAAGTAAATATACTGGTCTGGCAGAAAACACCTTTTCAATGCATACAGACTTTTTGAATGGAAACATAATTGCAGTTCACTATCAGTGAGCTCCATGAAGACACTAAGCTACATTTACTAAGCTTCTAGATTAGGTTTAATCTCTTCTTGATAATGTCCTTAGTCAATTGTAATGAAAATGGTCAGTTATCTAAACAGCTTATTATTCATGATAACTGCCATACAACAACTTCCAGAGCACAGTAATTAATACAGCGCTGAGGGATGAGAAACACAAAATTCAGGTTTTACCTAAAGCTATGTTTTGTTAGATGCAAAGAGCACTCAAAAACATGCATGTCAGAGTAAAATTTTTTAATTTCATTTGGGATTAATAAAGTCTTTTTGAAGTGAAGTTTTTAATTTTTGAATTGAATTGAAAAGCAGTATGAGTATGTACTGCAGAGTGAGGAAGGAAGGAGTTAGATAAAAACAACTTACAATCGGTTGTTGGGGATGATCTTATGTCCGTCTTTGTACCATGTGACCAGGGGTTGGGGAAATGAAGCCAACGGAGGTGGGCTGATGATGACGGCTCGGCCTTGAGTCGCTGTCTTTCTCTGCTCCCCAGAAGTGAAATTTCCCAAAACTTGGAAAAAAACAAAAAGAGAAAGGGTTAACTCAGCATAGGAATGATATAAACGTCTATTGTAACAATAATACACTAATGTTAGATTCTAACATTAGTGTATTTGTTGTCCTGGTAAATAGCCTAAATGAATATCGGTGTTGTTGGTGTGCAGACAACAAAGGAGATTTGGAATAATTTTGAGCTCGACAGTGCAATTTGTTTTCAAGATTATGTCAAATCCTTTCAAGATTATGTCAAATCCTTTCAAGATTATGTCAAATCCTTTTAACATAATAATGCAAATTATGTTAAAAGTAATCGGTCACCAATCTAATGTTTACTAATATCTACAGTAGACCCCCACCTATTTGCAGTCAAATATGCACAGATTTTTCTGTGGAACATAACTACAAGAAAATGCAGCTTTAGAAGCTGAACTCCCTAGAGAAGTGGTCCCCAAACTATGGCCCGCGGGCCGGATCCGGCCCGCCTCCACATTTGGTCCGGCCCCCTGAACAATACCAGAGAGCATTTAGATTTTATTTTCATATACCGTATTTTCTGGACTATAAGCCGCTACTTTTTTTCCTAAGCTTTGAGCCATGCTTAGCATATAGCCATGCTTAGCATATATGCACCAGGCTATAAGCCCGGTGCATATGGATTTTTCTTCAACCACCAGAGGGCTCTTTAGCAGGAAGTGAATCATTGGAAGTCAAAATTGGAAATAAAAGAAAGCGCACATTAAAACAAAATTAGGTTTTAATAGGGAATTGAAATTTGAGAATGTTGTTGATCAGTTAAATAGCACTGAGGGGAAAAAGAAGATTTTTCGTTTTCATTATGAGAATTTGAGGTATAGATATTAGGATCCAGTAGATGGCAGTAGTGCAACAATAATGGATGCAAGCTGCCGTTAAAATCTAAAGAAGAAGAAAGTGCCCATTTTCATTTAGCACATGCTAGTAGCAGACACGAAGGATCAGCACTTTTACTGTTACAGTTACCATTCAGAACCTATCGTAATCAGTTCAGTTAAATCTAAACTTGGCAACTTTTTCTTTTTCAACCCTAATAAATGTGATATTCAATTGACCTGTTATGACTCAAACTTTGGGTGTCTGCCCCCCTCTGCTGCTGCATCGTTGTGGAAAACCTGGAGCGGCAGAGATATCTGCGGCTTATAGCCCGGTGCGGCTTATAGTCCGGAAAATACAGTAT